CACAGAGCCACGCTAGGGACCCCTGGGGACCTTGTCACCACCACGGAGGTCCCACCTGGCAGGAGCCACTGGCAAGGGGTAAGCAGGGTGTTGGCACACCCCAGTGACCCCAGTGCAGAGTCCCCAGTGCTGCCAGACAGACCCCTCCTCTCACCAGCTGTGGCCAGTGGGGACCCCACTGCCACCCACTCTCCTACCAGCACAGTTCCAGTAGCTTTCTGCCACGGACACTTCTGGGGAGCATTAGGACAGGGGAGCAGCAGGCACAGCTCCCAAGGGACGGCTGAGCAGGTGCCCCGTGACGAGCTGGCACAGTGTGGCACAAGCTAGTCCCAGTCTGCGGCCAGGGCTGGACTGGGTCCCCCACACCTGGGCTGAGTCCCCTGCACCTGGACCTGGCCCAGCCCTGCACACAAGGCAGCAGGGCAGGAGGGTGCCAGGGGATGATGCTCCCATGTCCTCTGGAAAGCTCCTTCCTGGCAGAGGGTGGCAGCCCCACGGTGCTGACGAGGACACGACACGACGCGGCACAAGATGACACAACACAGCACGACATGGCACGACACCGTGGCAAGGCCCTGGCAGTGCCCAACTCCAGCATGCAGCAGCTATTCAGCTTATCTCTTTACTCAGGATACAACCATCCCCTCAGTGCCAGAGCATCCCCTGGCACGACCTGTCCCGACACGGCTAAATATCCCTGCAAGTACTCCCTATGAAACTAGAGCTTTTCTGTTCAGTTTTGTTTAAATCTGCAGCATTAAAAAAACCCTTAATAATAACGGGAAGGGGTGTGGGGAAAGGAGGTGTCCAAGCAGGGGGTGGTGGGTGGCCCAGTGGCACGGACGGATGCCCGAGCCTCAGCCAGATCCTCAGTCAGGGCTGGTGCCTCGGTGAAGTGAAGGTCTGCCCAGCAATGGGGTCCCACCAGCACCCCAGCTCACTCCCCTGCCACAGCCACTGCTGGCTTGGCATGGGGAAAACACAGCCCAGTGTCCCTGCCCAGCACCAGCTTTGGTCCTGCTGGGTGTCGGAGCCGGCTCGGGGGGCAGGAGCCAGGGTCGGGGGGGCTGGAGGGGCCGGAGGGGAGCGTTCATCAAATGGGCTGCCAGGTCTTGTCAATGGTCTGAATGTGCTCCTTGGCTTTCATGCGGAGCGAAGCGATGCTGGAGCTCCTCTGGTCCACCTCCTCCAGCGGGTACTTGTCCACAAAGGGGGTGCCGCACTGGTAGGGCGCAGGGGCCATGGGCTGCATGCCCTGTGCCATCGGTGGGGGGGTCTGGAGGAAGGAGTGCCCCCCGTAGGGGGGCTGCAGGGCCTGGGGGGCTCCCATGAAGCCAGGGATGCTGTGGACCGTGGTGGCGCCGGAGATGGGGGACGTCAGCCATGGGTCGAGCGGGAGGGAGTTGCTCATGGGCCCCACGTTGGGGGTCATGGGGGGTCGGTTGAAGGAGAGCACGGGGGTGTCGTGGAGCTTCATGGAACTGGCCTCCATCTTCTCCTGCCGCCGCCACTTGGCTCGTCGGTTCTGGAACCAGACCTGCGAGGTGAGAGCCAGGGTGAGCTCCACCCTGCCCAGCCAGGCCCTCGTGGGGTGCCCCACGTGCTGTGGGTGCCCCATGTGAGGTGTCCCATGTGCTCAGCCCCATGCAGGGTGTTC